AGCATTTCCACCTCATCAGGTTCAAGTGGAGCAACTTTATTCCTTCCAACCCATACTAGATTCCATTTTCGGCATTCATCAAGAATATACTTAAGGACACTCGAAGATGGCTCATCATCATAAGCTTCAAAAACCTTGCAGATCCTTTCTGGCACTTCGGCACTTCCTGTACATGATTGTAAATATTTCAACCTTGTTCGTGGATCCCAGTAAGGCCACCATTTTGTCAATGGAAAAGCATCATGTATAGTGCGTGGAGAAAACAAGATAAGAGGAAATATGTTCTCAATTGGCAGATTATGAATATAGCCCCTTTTCAGTGTAGCAGCATGAAAATGCTTCGAATCTACAAATTCTGGCTCTACATTGAATAAGTACTGTAATATTCCAATCCAAACATTAACTGGAGCAAATGCCACGTTCTCGTAGCAGAAATAAGGAAACCCAATAGCATCTTCTGGAAGTGATCTTTGAGTTATCTGATCTGATTTGGTATGAACCCTAAAACCAATCATTAGATTTAAAAGATGAATTTGCTCATAGCAGAAATAAGGAGACCTAATAACATCTGCTAGAAGTGTTCTTTGAGTTATCTGATCTGGTTCGGTAGGAACCCCAGAACCAATCATTAGAATTGAAAGATGAACTGCATGATCGTCTTCATTAAGAAGCTTCTTTTTAAGCTTCCTCTGCTTCTTCTTTTTTAAGAAAATCATAGCCCAAATTTTCGCTTTTTCTTGTAATTGGGATCATTGCATAATGGCTTCCTATCTTTTACCGGAAGAAGTGTTTCAGTAGCCTTAGCCATTTGAGCAGCGCATATAAAATCTGTCAACTCTGTAATTGATAAATTGGACCACCTCTCTCCATGGTTATGAAGCCTCAACCTCTGAATATCCTATTTTTGTCAAGTATAACAGTTTATTCTCCTCATCAGAATCAGAATTCAGGATTTCCTCGGTATCAGAAAGAACAATCAATATCTGTGAAATCATCCTGAAAGATCGCTTCATAATCAGATGAGTTATTATCAGAATCAACATGTTGCATGGGTGTAGATTTTTCAAAAGCCTGTACCACTGTATATGTAGTCTTCCTATTGCATCAGATTACTGTTTGCATAAATTGGTTTCTCTCCCACAGAAAAGTATATTTCAGAGATGGCTTTCACTGAAAGATGATAAGCCACTGTGTCAGTCTGGAACGGATTACCAAGCTATTTTTACTGCTCTGTCTGACTAAACCCCTCTAGATACAGAAAATGGTCACCTCATTTCAGACGTTTCTGTCAGAATGATTGAGTTCTTCTTAAATTTGTGACAACATAAAGAGAATTTCTCCAGTTACTTGACAACACTGCTGTTCAGTGACACTAGAATGAGAGTATTTAAGATAAACAGATTTGGGGCATGAAGAAAGCTACAAGCACCACAGTGCATTGTCAAAATTGGACCTCATGAGGATCATGATATTCCAGTTAAACATACATTGAGAGTTGAATCAGAAGTAAAATATTGGGCATCTCGAAAGTTCACTTCAGACAGATACATGTGGGGCATTTTGAAGGCTCAGATTAACAAGAAGCAAATGTTGGGGCATGTGAAAACCCTTTTCAATCCGAATCAGAAATGTTGAAATATTCTGAATATTTATCAGCAAAATGATAGGGCATGCTGAAAGCCCATTTCAATCAGAATCAGAACTGTTGATGCATTTTGAACACTTGTATTAGCCAATGTTGGGGCATGCTGAAGGCCCACAACATCCTATGTCAAGATCATTGACTTGAACAAATATTTCCAATGAGATAGAAAGGTGTGAAGAATGAAAATGGTGAAACAGTGATAGTCGAGCTGACTATACATAATTGCTTTGTTCATCAAGCAGTTATATTATGATCATGTTGTTGAACAAATATCTACTCAGCAAGTATGGTTTCAAATACCCAATCTTCTTAAACCATGTGTCACATGACAGTGTGTTCTTTGATAAACTACATCATGATTGCATGGATAAAGATGGTCCCCGGGCAGACTACTCGATCCAGAGTTCAGTTCCTCAAAATCTCGGCTTTGAATTTTGCATTATGTGTGTCGGTGATGATTGGAAATATTTCTTTGAGATTCGTGGCAGTTAGTTTCAACCATACTGTTAGAATTACGAAGCTATTTTCACATCAGTTTTTGCTTACTTGATGACATTGGAAAGGGAGACTCGACTCTCACTTATATTACTGTTATTCCGTTGTTATTGGGATCATAATTGCTAGCTAAGATGAACTGAGTTTCCATCTATTTTGGGTTTTATCATGTGCGTTTCATCCCTAGCAGCAAGAATTCCACGGATATCTTTCTGTACATGAATTCTATAGCTGAAGTATTTCTACTTTCTACAATGCTCATTACATAAGAAAACATGATCAGTATTACACTTGCCCTTGCCCGAGATGATATCAAGATCAATTAGTGTCTCGACACCAACATATCTTGTGAATTTGACCAATTTTTTGGTCATGCCAGCATTCCATTTGTATTCCCACTGATTTTTGTTTTCAAGTGGTCTTGTGACATCATACAAAAGCTTTAAACACTGTGCAAAGAGCTTCACTGACCAGAAATTTATGCATAAGTCACAAGAAATAAAGAATGTTTGTCAAATACTTTACAAACATCTGAGCAGAAACCATATGAGATGATGAATGTGTTGTCAAATGTTTTACGAACCAGTTATTCTGGTACTGAACCAATGTTGCAATCATATGGTATTTCCATTTATGGATCCAAGATAAAGTTTGTCTTCTTCAACCTCGAGGTCAGAAGTGAGATATGATGAAGATTTCTTTCCATAGAAGGGAAGCATAATTTTAACAACAAGAAACTAGTGGAGCCAACTAATGTTGAACGGCAGGTTGTTGTTAAACATCTCGACATGATATGGTCCAAGTTGCCTTATTCGAGATCTGATTAGATGTGAAGACATGAAAAGAATTAGGATAAATCCTCCTTGTGATGTGTTTCAAGAGTCAAATTAGAACAGACTCTACTCTCCTAATAAATCCCTGCTGAGTCAGACATATCTACATCTACATTCTTCAAAGATGATAGATTCTCTCTTCAAAGATGATAGATTCTCTTTTCAAAGATGATAGATTCTCTCTTCAAAGATGATAGATTCTCTTTTTAAAGATGACAGATTCTCTTTTCAAAGATGAAAGCTTTATTGAATTTTTACACAAGTCCCAACAAAGAAAGTTGGTTTTATCCAAGACAAAATGGGGCATCAAAGTCATATTTATGACTACAGCAAGAGTTCCCAAATGAAACATTTCTTATGAGACTTAAATGAAGCAAAGAGACTCCAAGATACAGATTGATCAGATGATTCTGCAGAAATGAAAGCTTGATAGTATAAGTTGCTACATTCCAGAGGTAATCCTGGCAATAAATGATGAAGTGAAGAAGACCAAGTTCACCAATTTGAAATCAAATAAAAATGAACTTAATATTCATGCATCATATTTAGGCATTTGCAAAAATAGGTGCATTTCCATTCATTTTATCCATGTTAAATGTTGACAGGAATTTCAAAGATTTTAGCAAAGATTCAAATCCATCACTTGATGGATCAACATTTCCAGAGAAAGTTCATAATGAAAAGAACTCATCTGAAGAAGGAAGAAGAAGTTCATAATGAGAAGAGCTTGTTCAACCTTTTGCTCAAATCCATCACTTGATGGATCAACATTTCCAGAAGAGTTCATAATGAGAAGAACTCATTTGAAGAAGGAAGAAGAAGTTCATAATGAGAAGAACTTGTTCAACATTTTGCTTGAATTCATCACTCGATGGATCAACATTGCCAGGTAGAGTTCATAATGAGAAGAACTCATCTGAAGAATGAAGAAGAAGTTCATAATGAAAAGAACTTGTTCAATCTTTTTCATGATTCTATCACAGAAAGAGATAGATCAACATTAATTTGTCCAGAGAAGTTCATAATGAGAAGAACTCATCTTGAGAGGAAGAAGAAGTTCATAATGAGAAGAGCCTGTTCAACCTTTTGCATGACTCTATCACAGAAGGAGATAGATCAGCATCAATTTTTCCAGAGAAAGTTCATAATGAGAAGAACTCATCTAAAGAAGGAAGAAGAAGTTCATAATGAGAAGAGCTTGTTCAACCTTTTGTTTGACTTTATCACAGAAGGAGATAGATCAACATCAACATTTCTAGAAATGTTCATAATGAGAAGAACTCATCAGAAGAAGGAGAAGAAATTCATAATGAGAAGAATTTGTTCAACCTTGCCTTAATTTATCACATATAAAGTTGAATCAATGACCTCCTTCAAGGATCAACATTTCAGAAGAAGTTCATAATGAGAAAAACTCATCTGATGAAGAAAAAGTTCATAATTAGAAGAACTTGTTCAAACTTTTTGCTAGATTACATCACAGAAGGAGATGAATTGTCATCCCCAGTGGAAGAGTTCATAATGAGAAGAACTCATCTGAAGAAGGAAGAAGAAATTCATAATTAGAAGAACTCATCTAAAGAAGAATAATAAGTTCATAATGAGAAGAACTCATCTTGAGAGGAAGAAGAAGTTCATAATGAGAAGAACTTGTTCGACCTTATCTTAATTCATCACATATGAAGTTGAATCAACACCTCTTTTAAGGATCAGCATTTCCAGAAGAAGTTCATAATAAAGAACTCATCTGAAGAAGAAGAAGAAGTGCATAATGGGAAGAACTTATTCAACCTTTTGTTCGGCTCGTCATAGAGAGAAATATATCAACATCAACATTGTTTAACCTTTTTTCAAATCCATCACATAAGGAGGTGGATCGCCATTCCCAGCAGAAGAGTTCATAATACGAAGAACTTATAGCTCAAACGTTTGGACAATTCAAGCTAAAAATGGTGCTTTTTGTCTTTGCTCCATTCCTGTTCTACAGCAACGAGCAAAGAGGGGGCAGTTGTAATCACCATTTTTACCTTCCCTATCCAGCAACCAATGACAGCAGCCCCTCCACGTGCATTTCCAGCACCTTCCAGCAACCAACGATAGCATCCCCTCCACCACAACAACTCTCCAACAGCTTCCACTAAACCAGCTGTCCCTCCACGTTTCAGCAAGTAACCCAGCTGTCCCTCCTAAAGCTTACCACCAAACAAACAACAATCATTACTTTTGTTTTAAACATGTAAATGGGTTAATATATAACCCATAAAAATTACAGTGTAAAGAGGAGAGAGGAAACACAGAGATTGTAAAAAAAACCAGGAGATCAAGCATCAATAAAAAGAAAAAAAATCAGAAAACAACAAAGGTTTTTATTTTTCAGATTTGTATTTTACTTTTATTTGTATTTTTTTGAAATAAAAAAAAATAGTAAAGAAGAGTGAGTTGTACCGGTGCCAAGGGTTCATCGTCGGAGTCTAGGTTGTCGGAGAAACGCCGATTGAAGCATTAGGAAAAAAAGCTTGAGTTGTTAGGCCTGGATTTTGGTAGTTTAAATCCCAAATCGGGATTTAAAATTTTTTAGGGATAAATTTTAGGTTCGGGTTTTGTGTAAGGGATGATTGGAAGAGTATTTGGCCACCGATTTACGGTGGCCGGCGGCGAGGTGTGGGGGTTTTATGGCCATCGGCCGGTTATGAAAAGAGGAAGAAGGAGAAGATTGAGCTTCTCTCTCTGAGAGGAAAGATGAAGAAGAGTGGATAGGTTAGCCAAATAGAGAAAAATATATATATATATATAGCTTAGGTTTTGGGTTATTTACTTTTAAGTCACTCTAGTTTATACCGCGTTTTACATTTCGGTCACTGTTTTTAAGGTTAAATTATGTTTAAGTTCCTATGTTTTCTGCGTCCTGCGTTTTGGTCACTAAGGAGTTTAGTTTAATTTGCGGGGTAAATCACGCTAAAATCCCTGTACTTTAAGCATTTTTTTAAATCACAAATTAGTGGGTTAATCACTCATAAACCATTCTAGTTTACGCATTTTTTATTTTGGTCACCAATGTTATTTCTTTATTTTATTTCGATTTTTTGCATGCTAATTTATATTTTATTTCATTTTAGTCATTAATTAATTCTGTTATTATTTTATTTATGAATATGATATTATAGTTTTAATTTTTTTATTTCATCACTATTTAATTGCAATTTAATTTATATTATTATTATTATTTCAATTTCAATAAGTTTAAATTATTACTTTAATTATTATGTTATTATTAGTTAGTCATATAAATATATAATAAGTACTATTTATTTATTTATTTTATTTTATTTCTATTAAAATACTTTTAAGAAAAATAATCATATTTTAATATATATTTATCAATATTAAAAAGGATGTCTTAAAGCAACTGGATGTCCATTTTCTGATATTTTTAAATAAAAAAATAAATATTTTAATATATAAATCTGTTTTTATATTATTTTCTATTAAAACTTATTCAAAATTAAAAAGGAGTTGTCTTAAAGCACCTAGAAGCCCTTTTCTGATATTTCTAAATAAATAAATATCTTGTTTAATAAAATATATATATTAATATATTATCTTAAAATTATATTAATAAACTTAACAAATTATGGAATAAATATATTTTTAAACTTTAAATTTCAATAATAGAGACAATTTATAATTAATAAGTACCAATTTTGGGCGTTGTAGGGGTGCTAATCCTTCCCTAAACGTAACCGACCACGAATCCCTTTTTATTTCTAAAAAGAATGAATTTTTGGTTAAACGCGGATCAGTTTATCTTTTAACTGATGTTTTCTTAGAAAACTCTTTTAAAAGGTAATTTTTAGGTATTCGACCTACCTAACCCAAAAGGCCGATGGCGACTCCAAACCATTTTTTTTAATTATTTTGTATCCACATTATTTTTCCTGCCAAGTAAAAATTCGTGCCAGGACGAAAACCGGTTACGAAACTTATTTACAAAATTCCGTTAAAATATCTTTGTAAAAATATCGATACTTAGTGTAGATATATGGAAATTATTATATACTTAGTGTATGCGTATCAGTATGTATTCAGGAAAATTATTAATACCCTATATCGATACTTTAGAATTTTAGATTTTTTTATGACTGTTATCGAGACTTTAGCATTTGAAAAAATTGATGAATGTTAAAATATCGATAATTGATATATGATGTATCGATATTTTTGAAAAAATTGATGAATTCCACCCCTCACATCAACCTACAAGTATCAATACTTTCGAATTTTAAAAAAAATATTTCAAATGGTTAAGTTGTATATATTTTACCGTTTACATTATTATTAACCTTTAAACAAATCAGTAGCTAGTTTAACGTAATAGGTAACGCTTATTTAACGTAATAGGTAGTGCCTATTTAACATAATAGGTAGCACCTATTTTATTTTACTGTTTACATTATTATTAATCTTTAAACAAATCGATAGCTAGTTTAAAGTAATAGGTAGTGCTTATTTAACGTAATAGATAGCGTCTATTTTATTTTATTGTTTACCTTATTATTAACCTTTAAACAAACGGGTAATTAGTTTAACGTAATAGGTAACGCCTATTTTATTTTACCGATTATATTATTAGTAGCCTTAAACAAACCGTGGTAGTTTAACGCAATAGGTAGTGCTTATTTTATTTTACCGTTTATATTATTAGTAACCTTTAAACAAACCAATAGGTATTTTAATATAATAGGTAGCGCCTATTTTATTTTACTGTTTACATTATTAGAAACCTTCAAAGAAACTTAACATAATAGGTATCGCCTATTTTATTTTAACCGATTAAGTTTTAAATATAAGTATCGATACATACAGTATAAGTATAGATACTTTTTCAGGACAATAGTTGGACATAGCTTACTGTCGAAACAATATTCATTCGTTTAGAGTAAGTATGGATACAAAAGCTATGCAATTTATGTTTCAAATTTTTTAATAGTTCTTCATATTTTTCACCTACAACATTAATTTAATAATTTCATATACACAAAAAATTATTTGATTATTTAGATTTTTTATAAAATTTTATTTAGAATTTAAATTTAACAATTTTAACTAAAGATAATAATAAATATATAATATTTACTACATCAAAACTGTTCGGTAGCGGTTTTTTACGGCGTTTTTAACTAAAACACCACAAAATTTGAACAAAAAATGGTGTTTACGGGTAAAACACCACAAAAAAAAAACATTAGCGGTGTTTTTAGTAAAAATGCTGCGATTGTCTCTTATAAGGCAACCCTTTTGTAATAAACGCCCAATAGTCATGCATCTTAGCGGCGTTTTTTTATAAATGCCGCAATAATCATGCATTTTAGTGGCGTTTTCGATAAATGCCGCAATAGTCATGCACTTTAATGGCGTTTTTGTAATAAACGCCCAATAATCATGCACTTTAACGGCGTTTTTGTAATGAACCCGTAGTCATACACTTAGCAGCGTTTTTGTAATAAACATCGCAATTGTACAATCCTTTTAACCCATCGAGCTCCAAATCCCTAATTGTTTCATTCCCATTTTTTTCTAATTTTCCTCTAATGCCCAGTCATCACAGTGAAGTCACCACCGTGCACCATCACCACAACTACAACATCACGCCGCCATCGTCGGTTTTCAATCACCAATATGTATGTCTCTTTTCTACTTCGTACTCTGCCATTTTCGTGGTCCAAAACCGTCCAACTTGTTTCTTGCAATATGCTCTATCACTTGACGATAAATTCAAAATTTTCTTCTTCCCATACCTTGGTATGCTCATTTGGCTATTTCTTTTGATCTTTATTTAAGCTTATGTTCATCATTCTTCTTCTAGGTTTCCATTGAATGCCTCTGTGGGTGGAAGGTTTGCTTGTTAAGTTATCGGTGGGTTTAGATAATCTTAAAGGAAATTCATTATTCTTATAACAGTGTTATGAACTAATAATATTTTTTAATATTAATAAAGAAAGGTAATAATAATTTCAAAATAACAGTATGTTATTGTAGGGAGTATCCACCAAAAGTTGGCTTCTTTAAGAAGTTAAGAAGCACAATAAATAAGGAGAAGAGAGTTCAGCTAAATGAGGTACCAAAATAAAAGAAGATTAGAAGGAGATAATTTCGAAATCTTAGAACCCAATAGCTAATTCGAAAGAATTTGATAGAGAATTATCAAAAAAGAAAGGAGTTAGATCATCATATAATTAAGGTGGGGTTATTTATGAATTTTTCTCATAATATTTACCTTAGTTGGTACTTATAAATAGAAACATTAATCAATTGTTATATTTGTGTTGTAATTGTGAATTTAATGAGTTGAGTTTAAATTCAAGTTATGGATTCAAAATTCAAAGATTAAGAGTAGGCGAATGATGAAACCACTTGAATCAATATCGCTTGTAATTCCAAAAGTAATGGTAAGTGTAACTTGAAATGAAGAAATGTCTGAATATGCATTAGCTGGTATTTCATTATTTTTTATACAGTTTATAAAGATTTAAGATATGAGTTTCAATTGTCCAAGAGCCATGACTATATAGAGTATTGTCAAAAAATTTATATGTATAAATGTTCATTTTGGTAAGTGAATTGTGATGAACATAGTTTGGTTTGTAAACTATTCTCTTCGGGGATTGTTTTGTTGAAATTGGATCATGCAAGGGTTATAATTTTTTGTGTACAATACGCAACAAGTAGCTGATGGCATTAAATTTATTAAGTTGTTATGTTAATTAATCGTTCAGGTACTTAATATTAAACATAAATAAGAGCAATATTTTTCTAGATTTTATTTTATAAGTATTCTACGCTGCTTTATTAAGCTGAAAATTTGTTGTATAAAATGAATAAAGAGATCAATAAAGATTTGCACCAAGGATAAACCTGAAACATGATGCATTATTAGTCTATTCTGGTATAGTATTCATGTTTGATTGCATGTTTTTAGCTACTTAATAAGTGCTTAAATTGACAGTGTAACTGTCCTAACTTGTAAATGCAACGGACTAAATTGACGTGTTTTTAGGAACTTAACAAGTGCTTAAATTGACAGTTTAAATGTCCTAACTAAGTGTAAATAAGGCTTAATATTCTACCCATATTTGTTTTTTTGATAAAGTAACTACATTGTAGGTTAGAAACTGAATGTAATTGAGCATGAAAAATGGATACATGTTTACCAAATTAAAGTGTGAAATAATATAATCTTTTAGATATAAAAGATATCTAAATTACGCAAGTACTAGGTTAGCAAAGTTGTCTCGTTTCATATGTTTCTAATTGATTATGTTTTGAAATGTTTTGCATAGCTATATCATAGTTGCTTAACATAATTTTTAAATAAATTAAGGGTGAATCATATGTACTCAACTCAAGAAATAAATTAGTGGATCATAGTTCAAATTTGATAAGTTAAATTAGCTCCAACTAAGTGATTATTGATATTGGTATGTTCTATATTTGTTGTTTCGAATGTTAAATTGTATATTTATAGTGGTATGAGATAATGATTGAAAGTTCAAGGTATGTATCTCGAACACTAATTTCATTATTCGAGTGATAATGAAGGTTGGTATGTTGTGCTCCGTAATACCCCCAGAGACTTGATAAACATCGGGGGTGGAAGTAGAGATGACATTGAAACAAGATCAGAAGCTTTACCTTTATAGCACAAAACTTAGATGAAACTATCACTGATACTACACAATTTCAACGTGTTCGGGAGGACGTGGATGAAGATATTTATGAGAATTGATATGACATAACAATGTAGTAAGATTTTATATTTTAATTTATTAATTGTTGTTTGTTTATTACATATATCATACCTAGGAGAAAATTAAGTGATTTACATTTAATGAGGAATCGATTGTTGTTGGCTCTTCGGAAGTTCCGATTACTGTTGAAGAAGTTGTAGAAATTGAAGGTAATGTTCGACACGTTCTTTAATTGATGGTTCATTTTGAAAACTTACATTTAATTATTTCTTATATAGTTGAAAATGGTCGAACACGCAAGACTAGAAGACGTACAATGTTGAAGGAATTATACCAACTTTCTCATGGGAACCGTGTGAAAGTTTCAAGAAACGATGACGGCAACCTATTGGCCCAGAAGCACATCTTCTATCTGGTTACTTAGGCATGGTTGCACGTAATGCTAATCTTTTACCGATCAATTATGAGTCATGGCGTGAAATGAAAAATAGTAACAAAAATCAGGCTTTGGATTTTGTTAAAGTAATAATGTCATTATAGTAGATAATCCATAACAATTAAATAGTAATTTATATTTACTTTGAACACTTATGTTATTTGTAGGAGAAATTTCTTTAGAGGTCTTAGACGATTATTTGAAGCAAGCGTTAGGGAAGAGATGAGAGACCACAAGAGTTCTTTAAAAAAGAAATACTTCAAGAATGATCTCAGCCTTGAAGAGAAGCTGCAAACTATCCCACCTGGAATGCTCAGGTATCAATGAGAAGACGCAATCAGGTTTTGGAGTTCAAAGAAATGACAGGTATGATGTATTTTTCAAAAACAAAATAATGTCATTATAATATTGACTTTATAAGTACAAATTTAAAATTTTAGGACCAAGAGCATGTTGGTGTTGCTAGCAGACAATAACAAAAGTTTACTCAAACAACTGGATCGAAGAGTTTTGCTTGTATAGCTAATGATGAGGTATTATTGATTGTTGACATAGTGATTTACAATTGGTAGCACAAAGTAACGAAAATTATTTATATTATTAATCAATTTTTTGCAAGACTTAATTTTTATTCTACATTGTAGGAAAATACGTCTGGTTGTAAAGTTGGACAAATAAAGCTCTTCAACATGACACATACAAAAAAGGATGACACTCCTATGACTGATGAAGCTACAGAAATTATAGTACATTTATTGGACACAAGATTTGAATTATGTTAAATTTATATCTATAGTATGACATTTTAATTTAAAATAATTATTGAATTGATTATTCAGAAAAATTGAGGGATAAAAGCGGATATGAAGCTACGGCTTCAAGTCATGGTACTGTTAATGTGGATGACATCGAAAATCAAGTTATTAATGAAGTTTTGGGTCCTGAAAGATATGGTCGGGTTTGCTATCAAGGATCATTCGTTACTCCAACCAAATATTTTGAATCCAGTTCATCTCAGTACATGTCATCACAAATCAGTCTTCCCAATTAAAAGTTAGTCGTTTAAAACAATAGTTGGCTGAAATGGATCAAAAAGTTGCTCAAATAAAGTCGAAATTGAAGCGAGGGAAGCAACATATCAGAAAAAATGTGAAGACTTTGAAAATCGACTTCAAGCTATGATGCAGATGATACGATAAAATCAACCCTAGAGTTCACCATCTTAGATGTTATTTTAGATATATTCTTTAGGGGTTTTAGTTAACAATGTTGAACTACATTATATTTTACGTTAATATAAACTTTGATTTATTATTATGGATTTCAAGTTGGTTGTTATGGATTTCAAGTTTGTTGGTATGGTTGTCAAGTTTATTGGATAATGCTACATGTAAAATTTTAAATTTGGGTAACAAAAGAAAGAAAATAGCATAAGAAAAATCAGTTTTAATTAGCGGCGTTTGTATAAAACACGCCACTAAATACATACTCAATACCAACATTTTAGAAAAAAACGCCACTAAAGTTATAGATCTTCTGTGGCGTTTATACAGAAAATGTCACTATAGCCATAGTCAATAGCAACGTTTACATTCATAAACACCACTATATGTAATTACCATTACCGGTGTTTTTAGGAACAAACGCCACTATATGTCATAACATTTAGCGGCATTTTTTTACAAACGCCACAAAAGAAAAGATATATAGTGGCATGCCGCTACCTTTTGCGGTTTTGGTTTTACCGGTGCTTCTTGCGATTTTTTTGTTTCGCCACAAGGGTTTTTAGTGGCGCTTAAAAACACCACTATATGACTGAAAAACGACACTAAAAACCTGTATTGTTGTAGTGATCTATGTTTATTATTTTAAATTTAATAATAATATATACCATAACATAAAAATAAGTCATTAATGCTTATAATTACTAAATTAATATCTTAAAAATCACTCAAAAGATAACCCTAAATTAGTATTTTCCACAATAAAATAAGTATGGATACTTATATATGTGTATCGATACCTACCAATAACCAAAGTTTACTGGGTACCAAATTTTTTAATAGTTCTTCATGTTTTCCATCTACAACATTACGAGTCTATAACATTTCTGGTAGTGCTTTACCGAATTTATTAATTATCTTATTAAATTTCTGATCACGCCGTTTCTTAGCTTATTTAGTTCGTATTTAGTTAGGCATTCCCTTTTTTGAGTTTACTTTTAACTTTTGTTTTATATTTACTTTGGTAATGTCCAAGGAAAGGCGGGCTAATATACAACTAAAAAAAACAAGAACAATCAACTCTTTGACATCCTTACGTCGAAATCAAATAATCAGTGACAGCATGCAGCAAGGAGAATGAAACAGAGGTAGATCTAACGTGGCCAACACTCATCGAAGCAAAGAGAGTCTATGGAGGGTCAAACCATTGTCTGTCTTCAGACGTATAGATGGCATGGGACTCGAACCTGAGGGATTTTGACCCGACCCAACCTAATAGTGTTAGATTTAAAAAAAATAGATTCGTATCGAGTAAGGTTGATTTTTTTAATATTCTGTTCGGATCAAATCAAGTTCGAATTTAGGGTGAAAAATAATCGACCCGACCTGAAAAAATTATAATTTTACCTTTGTATTTAGGGATACTTACAATAATACACATCTATATATTATTTCTTTCAATTAAATACATATTTTATTAAATAATTTTTTTAATAAATATATTATTTTGGTTGGGTTTGGATTTTATCTCAAAAAGTGGGGTAGAGAATTTATAATTTTTGAGTCAGGTCGAGTAGACCGAAAATCCGGAATACCCAGATACTTCTCCGGATTAGTTGTATTTGTGACATCAAGAATACGACGAACCTTATTCTGATTCTTTTCAATTACATTTGAACTGAAGACGATGCCTAATTTGTCAAAATTCACCACTTGACCAGAACTAGTACCATAGATGCGCAAAATCTCCTTCATTGTAATAGCATTGGACGCTGAGGCCTCACAAAAAATAAGACAATCATCTGTAAAGAGTAAAGGAGGTATCCTTGATGCATATCGATTCAATTTGACCCCATAAAATTTGCCCATCATAGAAGCTCGACGAAACAAAGATGACAACCCCTCGCTAAAAATAAGGAACAAATAAGGACTAAGTGGATCACCCTGTCAAAGACCCGATGGGGTTCAATGTTGAAAATTGGCACACCAAATTGCATCATTAGTCAACATTATAGGTGGCAATTTGTTGGCATTAATGGGGTAGCAAAATTGGTCAAATTTGGCCACCAATTATTGAAAATTTTGGATAGTAAAACTATGCAATTAGTCATTGTAATTTAGGGTATTTACAAATTAGTTCTTAAAGCTTCAACTATAAATACCCTAGCTCATTTAGCTTCAAAACCATCCCAAAGCATTCTAGCTTTCTTCCAATACTAGAGAGAATTTAGAGAGTTTCTTGAGAGTTGTTTTCTCCTTTTTATCAAGAGAGAATTACCATTATTTTCTCCTTGGTCGATCGAGAGAAGTTGTAATTCCTATTTTCTCATAGTGAAATTCTTCTACCGTTGCCCGTGTTTTTCACCCTATATTATTTAGGGGTTTTTCATGTAAAATTTGTGTCTCTTTTATCTTCAATTTTTATTTTCTCAAATTATCAGTTGCGATTTTACTCTATCGATAGTCGTCTTCCGCAACAATTGGTATCCGAGCCAGATTAGAGTGTGTAATATCTACTTATTGTCTTTGTGGTTGCCACCAAAAGGTGGATCCTCTAACATAAGAAAGTAAGAAGTTAGTACCCATTCTTTGAAGGTTCCAAAGAACTATTCACGATAGTGAAATAGTGGGAGCTATCCGTAAACGAAGCAATGGCAACGAAATTTGATATTAAAAAGTTCAATGGGAGAAATTTCTCATTGTAGAAATTGAAGATGAAGGCCATCCTGAGGAAATACGGTTGTCTAGCAGCTATCAACGAAAGGCCAGTAGATTTCACAGACGACAACAAATGGATCGAAATAAACGAAAATGCTATGGAAAACTTTCATCTAGCATTAGCAGATGAAGTATTGTCAAGTATCGAGAGAAGAAGACAGCTAAGGAGATATGGGATCATCTCACCAAACTGTACGAGGCCACATCGCTGCACAATAAAATTTTCCTTAAGAGAAAATTGTACACTCTCTGTATGCCAGAATCTACTTCAGCGACAGAGAACTTAAATATACTGAACACTTTATTTTCTCAGCTTACATCCTTAAGCTGTAAAATATGAGAACAAGAACGTGCTGAACTTCTACTTCAAAGTCTACCGGATTCGTATGATCAACTCATCATCAACTTGACAAACAGTAATGTCACCAGTCTAGTATTCGATGACGTTGCAGCTACTGTTCTACAAGAAGAAAATCGGGCAAGAACAAGGAAGACATACAAGTAAATTTGCAACAAGCAGAAGCGTTGACAACGATGAGAGGGAGATCAACAGAACGTGGCCAAAGCAGCAGTCACAAACATGGTAGATCGAAGTCGAGAAGAAAGAAGAATTTAAAGTGTTACAACTATGGAAAGAAGGGTCACTTGAAGAAGGATTGTTGGAGTCTAAATAAAAACTCCAATACACAATGCAATACCGCAAACACTTCATATGATGGAGATGCTCTATGTTGTGAAGCGTCAACCACCGTGGAAGGAAGAAAACGATTTGCAGATATATGGCTCATTGATTCAGGAGCAACATATTACATGGCCTCAAGAAGAGAATGGTTCCATCATTATGAACCTGTCTCAGGAGGATCTGTGTATAGTTGCAATGATCATGCCTTAGAGATTGTTGGCATGGGAACCATCAAATTGAAGATGTATGATGGAACAATTAAAGTTGTTCGAGATGTGCGGCACGTGAAAGGTCTGAAGAAAAATTTATTATCCTACGGACTGTTGGATAATAATGCTAGCAAGATTGAAACACGGAAAGGAATCATGAAGGTGTTCCGTGGAGCGCTTGTGGTGCTGAAAGGTGAAAAGATAGTTGCAAACTTGTACATGCTGAAGGGAGAGACATTGCTAGAAGCAGAAGCCTTTGTTGCCTCATGTAGTTCAGATTCTGCAATGCTATGGCATAAGAAACTTGGACACATGTCAGAACAAAGAATGAAAGTCCTTGTGGAGCAAAAGCTACTTCCAGGCTTAACAAAGGAATCACTTACTTTGTGTGAGCATTGCATAATAAGTAAGCAGCACCGGTTGAAATTCAACACATCAAATTCTAGAGGCAAAAGTGTTTTATAATTGGTTCACTCTGACGTATGGCAAGCACCAGTAACATCCCTAGGTGGAGCAAAATACTTTGTCTCATTTATTGATGACTACTCTAGGAGATGTTGGGTGTACCCTATTAAGAAGAAGTCAAACGTGTTTTCAACTTTCAAAAACTTCAAAGCGCGGGGGAACTTGATTCTAGAAATAAGATCAAGTGTTTCAGAACAGATAATGGAGGAGAATACACAAGCGAAGAATTTGATGACTTTTGCAGGAAAGAAGGCATCAAAAGACAGTTCACAGTGGCGAACACTCCTCAACAAAATGGAGTGGCAGAGCGGATGAACAGAACCTTGTTAAAAAGAACAAGAGCAATGTTGAGGGATGCAGGCCTAGAAAAATCATTCTGGACAGAAGCAGTCAATACCGTCTGTTATTTGGTGAATCAAGCTCCATCAACTACAATAGAGCTGAAGACACCAATGGAGATGTGGACTGGAAAACCAACTGATTATTCAAACCTCCATGTATTTGGAAGTATAGTGTACGTGATGTACAACTCCCAAGAAATTTCAAAGTTGGATCCAAAATCCAGGAAATGCAAATTCTTAGGGTATGCTGATGGATTAAAGTGGTATCGTTTGTGGGATCCCACTGCCCGCAAAGTGATCATCAGTAGAGATGTTATCTTTGTAGAAGATAAACTACAAAGAAAAGAAGACGATGATAGCGTTGAAAAGTTATAGACTACTCAGATACATGTGGAAAAAGAGTTTTAACAAGGAGATTCTTCTGAAACAGAACCAACACATGATGAACAAGAACCAGAGAGTTCTGAAGCTCCAACAACTCGTCAATCAGATCGTGTGAGAAGAGGTCCCAATTGGCACTCAGATTATGTTATAAAAGGTAATATTGCATACTGCCTTTTAATAGAGGACGGTGAGCCATCAACATACCAGGAGGCAATAAACAACTCAGATGCTTCACTGTGGATGATGGCGATGCAAGAAGAAATTGAAGCCCTTCATAAAAATATTAAATGGGACCTTGTGCCACTACCACAAGGAAGGAAGCCAATTGGTAACAAATGGGTCTTCAAAATCAAGCGAAATGGTGACGATCAAGTTGAGAGGTATCGTGCAAGACTGGTGGTCAAAGGATATGCTCAAAAAGAAGGTATTGATTTCAATGAAATATTTTTTCATGTGGTCGGACTAAAACAGTTTCGAGTAGTTTTGGCAATGTGTGCTACATTGGACTTACATCTAGAGCAGCTAGATGTTAAAACAGCTTTTCTTCATGGAAATCTTGAAGAAGAAATTTATATGCTCCAGCCTGAAGGTTTTGAAGAAAAAGAAAAGAAGAACTTGGTTTGCAGGTTGAACAAATCTTTGTACAGTCTAAAGTAGGCGCCGAGGTGTTGGTATAAGAGATTTGATTCTGTCATTATGTGCCTTGGATACAACAGACTTAATGCAGACCCTTGTGCTTATTTCAAGAGGTCTGGTGATAACGATTTTGTTATTTTGCTATTGTATGTGGATGACATGTTTGTTGCAGGACCCAACGAAGATCATATTGAAGAATTGAAGGCACAACTGGCTAGGGAATTTGAAATGAAGGACTTGGGATCAGCAAACAAGATTCTAGGGATGCAAATTCACCGAGACAGAAGTAATAGGAAGATTTGGCTTTCACAAAAGAATTACTTGAAGAAAATCTTGTCACGATTCAGCATGCAAGATTGTAAGCCAATTTCTACCTCTCTTCCTATTAACTTCAAATTATCCTCCAGTATGAGTCCTAGCAGTGAAGAAGAGAGGATGGAGATTTCTCGAGTACCGAATGCATCAGCAGTGGGAAGTTTAATGTTCGCTATGATATGCACAAGACCAGACATTGCACAAGCAGTGGGAGTGGTTAGCCGGTACATGGCGAATCCAGGAAAAGAGCATTGGAATACAGTAAAGAGGATCCTGAGATACATCAAAGGGACCTCAAATATTGCATTATATTACAAAGGATCAAACTTACTAATCAATGGGTATGTAGATTCTGACTATGCAGGGGACTTGGATAAAAACAAATCTACTATAAGATATGTGTTTAAAGTTGCTGGTGGAGCTATAAGATGGGTTTCAAAATTGCAGTCAGTTGTGGCTACATCCACAACAAAAGCAGAATATGTAGCATCTACACAAGCCAGTAAAGAAACAATATGGTTAAAAATGCTATTGGAGGAGCTTGGGCACAATCAAGAGTATGTCTCTCTGTTTTGTGACAGTCAAAGTGCCTTGCATCTAGCAAGGAATCCAGCATTTCATTCAAGGACAAAGCACATACGAGTTCAATACCATTTTATTCGTGAAAAGGTGGAAGAATGGACATTAGATATGCAGAAGATCCATACCAAAGACAACATAGCAGATTTTATGACGAATGCGATCAACACTGATAAATTTATCTGGTGTCGATCCTCCTGTGGCCTGTCAGAGACGTAAGAAACCTGAAAGGTACAAGGTAGAAAGAATGGTGTGAAGATATGATTGTTCCAATCAAATCTTCAAGTGGGAGATTGTTGAAAATTGGCACACCAAATTGCATCATTAGTCAACATTATGGGTGGCAATTTGGTGGCATTAATGGGGCAGCAAAATTGGTCAAATTTGGCCACCAAATTGTTGAAAATTTTGGATGGTAAAACTATG